ATTTTTCTGGAATACTTTCCGGGCTTTTTATAAAAACAACAAAGTTTGAATCATAATAAAAGAAATAATTCAATGATCTAATCTAAGAAATAAGTATACCTTCCATCAGAAAACACTCGTGCCCAAATAGGTCCATGATTTTTGAAGGCATAGGCAGGAGGATAGATTGCCAAAAGCGATATATAAAGCGCAAATAACCAAGTATGTTGAAGGTCACTAATAGAATAAAGCGAACATTGTAGATATTAATAAATAACAATGCAAAAAAAAAAAAAAAAAAAAAAAACAAAGAAAAAAGATTACTCAATTGCAGGAGCACCAAAAACGACGGCTATTAAATGAAACATGAATGCACCAAATAAGGTTATCCATAACGCATGAGCAAAATGCTATTTTTTCAAGATGATTCATTAGTAATCTTCACCTAACATAATGCACCAAAAAAAAATTACACAATAAAGTATACATATTGTACACATACCTCGCCTTTATTTTCTATTAAATTCTTAAACATAACTTTTACAGATTGATTTGTTTCAATCCCATCTCCTTGTAAATATAATAACCACCTAGTTGATTCGGTTAATAACTGCACAAAAAATAAGGTAATTGTAGTGATATTCAAACATTTTACAGGATCGTCCAAAAGTTTTGATGGAGGGATATATAAAAGACAAAGTGTTGATAGGATAAGTTGCGTAATCGTTATCAGGGTATGAAAAATTGGATGAAATTTTGTAATCACACTAGAGTTGTGAAGCGGAGATGTATTTTCATTAATAGAGGTTTTCAAATGTGGTTTGTCGCGTTGTGACATTGTTTATTAGTTAAAACAAACGAGGCCGACCAAAAATTGTCATTAAATATCGATATCCGGAATGAGGCTTTTGTGATTTGCAATTTATAAATTATTACGCCACATTTTTTATATACAAAATAGGCAAGTTCATTCAAATGTGATGGCGTGTAAATCAGAGCAAAAAATACTCATAGATTTACCGGCGCTGATGCCCGTTACCTAAAGTATCTTTTTTGATACATCAGAATATAGAAATTATACGCTTTACCGTTACTACAATACGGACAACCTAGTCCCAACAAAATGAAAATTTTTAGCGGCCAAATTTAAAATATAATATATATATATATATATGGTACGGCTAAATTTGAAATTTTAACATAAATTGGCCAAATTATTAACGTTAATTTAACGTAGTCAATTTAATATATAGAGTGGTCAAAATTAGTGTATAAAGTGGTCAAATTTGCTTGTTTAATAGTATATTTTAAGCGGCCGAATTGCTTGTTTAATTATACAATTGCTTTGACTTCAATTCTCTACTATTATTTTGACCATCAAGATGTTTAGCTTGAATGGTTTTAATATCTTACGAAGATTTTTGGTTTATTGTTTTTTTGTGAATAAGGTTTAGTATTTTGAAGTTAAATTTATTTGTTGGTGCTAGGCATTTTGTTTTTTAATCATTTTATATAATTATATAAATAATATTATGCAGAAATTTTTTTACCAATTAGATTTAGTATATGGTGAATCAAGAATGATATTTTTTAAGTGGCCGGTAAATCAATAGGCATTTTTGCCCTGGTGTAAACAATACAATATTATAATTAAATCTATTATATTGCATAGTAAGTATTTGATTATGAACAATAAAGAATATTGAAACATCTTTGTCGATGTTTTTTTGTAAAATTATAATTAATTTCAATTTTCGGATATTTGAGCAAGATAATGTCAACAAAAAAATATCAAGGTGTCACAAGAAATTCGAAAAACATACGAGATTTCATCTGAAACACTAAGAAAGTGGAAAAGGTATCGAGCATCAGAACAGCTGATGATAACAAGTTGTATTCTGTTGCGGACGTAGAGAAGTTGTTTGGAAATCTAGGAAAAGATCTGTTATGCAAGGGTCAGCTTAGTGTTACAAATCGGCAAAATTTTTTCAATCGATTAGTTGGTTAATTATTTTTTCAGTTGGTTGCAACTAACCGATTAATCGACGAGTTGCAACTAATCAATTAATCGATGAGTTGCAACTAATCGATTAATCGATTAGTTGCAACTAATTCATTAAGTATATAAATAATTTTCAATCGATTCATTTGCAACAATTAATCGATTAGTTGCAACTAATCGATTAGTCGATTAATCGATTAATTGGTGTCTAAAAAGTTCAATCGATTAGTTGTCAACTAACCAACTAATCGATTTTTTCAACTTTCGATTTGTAACACTAGGTCAACTCAGAGAAGCAGAAAGAAGATCTCGACAGGCAATGCGGGTATCAGGCAGAGATGTCCAGACAACGAACTCATTAGGGACATCGGATCAGGTCTCAACTGGAAACGCAAGGGTTTCAACCATTTTGGAACGATCGTACTGAGAAAATATCGAGGAGGTTGTAGTTCTGTAGTTACCAGGAAGGATCGGCACTGCAGGTTCGCGCATCTTATAATAGTCGTATGAGTAATAAAGTATATACTGCCCCTTTTGAGTATTGTACGTCTAACATTACGCAAACATCCCGCGACTGCTCTATGAGTAGGATTTTTAATGTACGTACAAACTAGCTAGTATTTTTTTCTTAGTATCACGGGAACTGGAAAGTTATTTATTGATTTATAAATTTTATTGGTTAAATGGTAGAAAAGGTTTTACATTACAATAATAAACTTACTTGACTGGCTAAACTATTTTCCACTATATAATTAAAAATTGAGCTCCGACCTATTAACGTTAATTTAGATGCCTGTCTGTACCGTTATAGGGATTACTTATAACTCTGGTCAAATTTGCCGATCGTTTGGCCAAGTTCAAAATGTTTTTGATTCTGAATCTGGCCAAATGATCTGCAAATTTGACCAGAGTTATAAGCAATCGTCCTTACGATCTAAACATACCCTAAAATTAACCAATAATTTGCATGTTATTATAGTAAAGGTTAGTAAAAAGTATAGAAATTTTAGGGTATGTTTAGATGTATCAAAAAAGTCGGTGCATAGGTATCAAAAATAAAAGTTTGCATCGACAGCAATCCCCTAATTTAATCGTGAACCCAATTACCTAAATACTAAGTGAGAGGTTTGATATTCATTATGAGATACTAGCACACTTCCTTTCTCCTATCTTACTGTAACAGGATGTCTACGCAACACATCCGAATCTCTGCTTATGACTCATTTCTCGCAATACCAGGTTTCTATCTGAATAAATCTAATTCGCATGAAAAACAAACAAAATAAGAAATAAATCAATAAAATAAAAAATGTGTCGCGTATATGTGAAATAATCAGTTAACAAGAGTGAATCGTAGGTAATTATACATGTGATCGAAATTATTTAAATTATTTCAGCTTATGTCGTAATTTCAAGGGGTAGAGAAGTAAATATTATAGTATATTTGCATACCATAGTAAAGGCGTAGTTGAGATTTGATAAATCAGAGAAATATTATCCTCTAAGGTACCCATGATTATCGTAGCAAAACCCTAATATTCGAACCAAACCTTTTCATGCCTTTATCAAAACCTGCTGGGTATGATATATTTTAGATAATTTTAGTGTTTGATATTCGTTCAGTCTTATCGTTATACTTAATTCTGATCCAGAACTGGTCTTGACTTTCAATATACGGTACTAAAAACAAAGTATTTGTGGTTTCCGATTATAATCTGTTTATAGAAAACATTATTAATTAGGCCAGACCAATTTGATTCAGTGGTTTATATTACATTTCTAGGAGAGTGAGATTTCATAATAAAGTTTTAAAGATCTGGAATAATCCCTAACCATACTAAGTTTTCCGACATGTCCCGCAACCCTATACATATTTTTCTAAGAGAGTGGGGAGAAGGTAATGTAAACTGTCGAATCAAATTGGTCCAGCCTTACTTATAATAACGTGTGCCATATTATCGTATGCTAATAAACCGTGAATATGTTATTTGTATTTATGTAATGTGGGATGAACTTTCTCATAATCGATCAATCGCAAGGAATATAACTTTTTGTAATTTGATCATGTAACAATAAATCATGTTTTGCTAACTCCTATTTTGTATCAAGAGTTCCTCATTTTCTAAAACGCGTTTTTTTTAAACGTTTAGTTGTTTTAATTAGCCAGTAAAAAGGAATCGCAGTATAGGTAACCTTTTTAAATAAATGAATTATTCATCTACATTGCAAGAGATCAGTCAATAGTTCTCAGTATATAGTGGTTAATAATCATGTATATTGCAGAAATTTTACCTTTAATGTTAGAAACGATCTTAATTCTTATTTTCTATTTGTGAAATGTTACACTCTTAAATATAACTGAACGATTTACTAACCAGAAGAAAGTTATCACAAGGGAACAATTGAGACAAAGCCAAATACAGTTTGGACAACCTGCTTTAGTAACAGCAGGGACAGTTAAATGATTGGTTATCCTGAGTCAGCAATTACGTCGATCAAAACATGACCATCAGCCAATCAAATCAAATCAACCAAAATAATTAATATTCGAATTGATATTATTAATATTCGAATAAACGATTTATTGCTATGTAATAAAGCTTTATTTTTTAATTATTGCATATTATATTTTAAATAATAATTCTATTTCAATTACAGTATTACTGAACCTTTAGCGAATTAATATTTTTTTTGTTCGTTCACAATATTAATCATAAAATACCACCTATATTTATTTATTTACATATATATGTACAGTACTTAAACCGAATCGCCATTTAACTAACAAATCTAAGCTAAATTAGTATATAATATTTAGAATTAAATAATGTATAATACAATATATATATAGTTTAATAAAAAAACATTACTTGTAAAGATCATAATAGTACGTATACCTTATAAAAACAAATTTCCCCAAACCAAAAATAATATAATTTTTGTATACGTATCAATCTGAATCTGCATTGCCGTACA